ATGGCAAATTTGAGACATAAGAGATAAAACATGCCCAGGTAATCTGAAATAATAATATTGATAAGCTGACATTTTGTGAACCTTTACTGTTTGTTAGGCACTGATTCAAGCACTTTATGTGTATTAACCTAGTTATTCATAACAGTTCTGTGAAGTGGATGCTTGTGTTATCACAGTTTTACATGCCTGGAAACTGAAGTGTAAATAATTATGGCATTTACAGAGGCTCTCAGAGATAGTAGGTGACAGAGCAGAATTTCAGTTCTATCAGCCTGGACTCTTTCAACTTTTTTGAAACAACTTTATATTTTGCTTTTTTTTACAAGACAGGGTCTCACTCTGTTATCCAGGCTAGAGTGGAGTGCAGTGGTGTGATCACTGCTCAGTGCAGCCTCAACCTCCTGGGCTCAAGTGACCCTCCCACCTCAGCCTCCCAAGTAACTGCCACGCCTGCCTTTTTTTTTTTTTTTTTTTTGTACAGACGGGCATCTCCCTGTGTTGCCCAGGCTGGTCTTGAACTGCTGGGCTCAAGCAATCCTCCCTCCTTGGCCTCCCAAAGTGCTGAGACTACAGGCATGAGCCACCCAGCCAAAACAAGTTTGTATGTTGTTACAAGTTTGCTGACCAGGCAGCTCATGCCTGCCCTCCCAGTAGGACCGAGCTGATTGGCACTAAAACATGGACCAATACCAGGCTTTTAAGGTAGCTGAGTAAAGGGTTGGTGGACCCTAGGGGACTGTGTCTGCCTTTCTCCTTGTGTTCTCCAGGAGGCCAGTGTGGCATGGACCTCTGTGAGATGATATGTGGTTGCAGTTTTTAGGTGAGAAAGGGACTTAACTCGCTTATGGTCTCACAGCTAGTAAGTGGCACCAGAGGAACTCGAACTTAGCTCTCTTGGTTGCTAGTTTATTGAGCTTCACCTCAAGATATATAAAGTTCAAGACAAAGTTTCATTTTTTAATAGTTCTTGGCCAGGTGTGGTGGCTCACGCCTGTAATCCCAGCACTTTGAGAGGCCAAGGTAGGTGGATCACCTGAATCACCTGAGGTCAGGAGTTCGAGACCAGCCTGTCCAACGTGGTGAAACCCCATCTCTTTTTTTTTTTTTTTTTTTTTTTGAGATGGAGTCTTGTTCTGTCGCCCAGGCTGGAGTGCAGTGGCATGATCTCGGCTCACTGCAAGCTCTGCCCTCCAGGTTCACACCATTCTCCTGCCTCAGCCTCCTGAGCAGCTGGGACTACAGGCACCCACCACCATGCCTGGCTAATTTTTTGTATTTTTTTAGTAGAGATGGGGTTTCACTGTGTTAGCCAGGATGGTATTGATCTCCTGACCTCGTGATCCACGCGCCTTGGCCTCCCAAAGTGCTGGGATTACAGGCATGAGCCACCACGCCCAGCCGCCCCATCTCTACTAAAATACAAAAGATTAACTGGGTGTGGTGGGGCACGCCTGTAGTCCCAGCTACTCAGGAGGCTGAGGCAGGAGGATTGCTTGAACCTGGAAGGTAGAGGTTGCAATGAGCTGAGATCGTGCGATTGCACTCCAGCCTGGGCGATGTGAGACCCTGTCTCAAAAAAAAATTTTTTTTTAAGTTCTATTTTATCTCTACTCTTGGTTTATTATAGTATCTTTTTTTTTTTTTTTTTTTAAATGTAGTTGTTGCCTTAGGGTTAACAAAATACACCTTTAAGTCATCGCAGTCTGCCTTCAGGTGATGCTGCACTGCTTCCTAGGCAGTGGAAGAGCTACTCATCTTTTGCGCTCGTTTTCATTCATTTCCCTTTTACATATGCTCTAAGCCTACAATACATTGCTACTATTTTTGCTTTAGAAAATAAACAATAATGTTTTAGAAAAATTGAACATAAAAAGAATGTCTGTTATATTTACCATAACTTTAACCATTTCTGGGGAACTCAATTTCTTTATGTACATCCAAGTTTTATCTGGCCTCATATTCATTCTACCTGAAAAATTACCTTTAACATTTCTTGTAACTCAGATCTGCTGGTAATGAATCCCCTCAAGTTTTTGTTTGCCTGGAAAAAACAAACAAACAAACGTTTTTTTCCCCTGAAATTTTTAGAGGTATTTTCACTGAGTATAGAATCCTGAGTTGACTATTTTATTCCTTCAGCACTTTAAAGATGTTGTCAGATATGTGTGATTTCTAATGAGAAGTCTGCTGTAATTCTTAACTTTGTCTTTCTGTATCTGATGTATCTTTCTCTGACTGCCTTCAACATTTTGTATCTTTGGGTTTCAGCAGTTTCAAAATGGCCCACCTAGGTGTGATTCTTTTTTTTTTTTTTTTTGTAATGTGTGTGGAGGTGTTTTCCCTTGCTTGGTGTTTTCTGAGAATCTTGGTGATTTGATGTCTTTTATTATTTTTGAAAAATTCTTAGTTATTATGTCTTTAAATATTTCTACTGTCCTGTTTCTCCCTCATCTCTTTTTGTGACTCCAGTTAGCGTGTTGGATCATTTGGATGCTCTATTCTGATTCCTTCTGCCCACTGTTATTCTCTGGGTTTGGATTACAGATGCTCCTCAACTTACAATGGGGTTATTTCCTGATAAAACGAACATAAGTTGAAATTAAGTCAGAAATGCATTTAATATACCTGACCTACCAACATCATAGTTTAGCCCAGCCTCACCGCAACATGCTCAGAACACTTGCGTTAGCCTACAGTTGGGCAAAATTATGTAACACAGAGGTCCCCAACCCCCAGATCACAGACTGGTACCTGTCCGTGGCCGGTTAGGAACTGGGCCGCACAGCAGGAGGTGAGCAGCAGGCAGGCAAGCACTACACCGGAACCCTGGCTCCTGTCTGATCAGTGGCAGGCGTTCCATAGATTCTTATAGGAGCATGAACCCTATTGTGAACTGCACATGTGGAGGGATCTAGGTTTTGTGCTCCTCGCAAGAATCTAATGCCAGAGAATAGTTTTATCCTGAAACTATCCCCCTCCAACCCCCATGGTCTGTGGAAAATTGTCTTCCAAAAATTGTCTTCCTGGTGCCAAAAAGGTTGGGGACTGCTGTTACAGCACAAAGCCTATTTCATGATAAAGTGTTGAATATCTCATGCAATAGTATTGTACTGCATATCACTAGCTTGGGAAAAGATCAAAATTCAAAATTTGAAGTGTAGTTTCTACTGAATGCATATCACTTTTGCATCATTGTAAAGTCAAAAAAATTTTAAGTTGAACCATTGTAAGTTGGAGATTGTCGGTATTTCTAGTGACCTGTTTTCAAGTTTTGATTTCCTTTTCCTCCTCAGCTGTGTCAGGTTGGCTGCAGTGTCTGGGAAAGGCACTCTTCATCTCTGTTACTGTATTTTTTATTTCTAGCCTTTGCATTTGACTCTTGCTTTTTTTATCTCACTGCTGAAATTTCCTGTCTGTTCATGCATGTTGTTCAGCTTTTCCAGTACAGCCTTTGACATACTAATCATATTTATGAATCATATTAATCTTAGTTGTTTTAAATTCCCTGACATGTAGTTCCAATATCTGGGTTATCTGTGAGTCTGGCTCTGCTGATTGATTTGTCTCTTGACGATTTACTTTTTTGTTTCTTTCTGTATGCGTCTTGTAATTTTTACATTGAATACCAGATATCATGTATAGGACAGAAGAGACTGAAATAAGTAATATTTATGCCTGGAATAGGCTTCCATCTTTTGTTTCTAGGCTTTTAGTAAGGAAAGTTGAGTTAGGCTAGTCAGAAATTGAGCTGGCTTGGGTTTTGTTGTTACTATGGTTCTGTGCCCCAGTGGTGCAATCATAGCTCACTGCAGCCTCTACCTCTCAAGCTCAAATTCCTCTCATGTTACCTTGTGCTTAGTGGGAGAGCTTGTTTGCCACAAGGTTTTTCCCCACATTCCAGTTCCGCCTTCAGCCTTAGGCCTTTGTGTGTACCTCAGGGAGGGTACTCCTCCATGCTCTTGCCTCCTCCCTGCAGTAGACTGCCTTGCTTGTTACTCAGTGCATGCCAGCCTAGGGTTGGGGACATGGGGTAGTTCTCTGTTGTCTTGGTCCCAGCCTCAGACTTAGGTGGACTCTGTGTCCCTGCATCTCAGGGGTGGTGCTTTCTCCGTGATTCTGCCCCTCCTTCAGTGGTGGGAGACCTCTAATGTTTGGACTCTAGATGATTTCCTGCCCCTCCCTTAGAATAGAAGGTTTTTCCTTTTCCCTTCCCCAGCTGCAGTGGGTCTTCACCTGTACCCTGGAGGCAACAAGGTTTCCTCCCCTGCCTCCATGCCTGAAGGCTTCGGTTCCTCCAGGCAGGCTTTGTACCTTTTCCATAGCAGCAACCACTCACTCCTCCCCTCCAGGTCTGCACTACTCCCAGGAAGGTTTCCTCAGCTTCCCTCCTTGCCCCTCCCCTATTCTTTCTCATGAGCACCCGTGAAGGTCTGAAGACAGCAGCTAGTGAGTGAGTACAAACTCCTTTTACATCTGTGGCTCCCAGAGATCTAGAGTTCTTCCAGATCACACCTGGCTTTTACTAACAGGTTAAAAATGTTTCCTGAATTCTTTCCCACTTCATTTATTTCTGTTATATTTATATGGTAGAAAAACTACATAATAATGGCTACTGTGCATCTCTTCCTAACTCCACATTTGACAACAGCACATTGGTAACTTGAAAATTGTCATGGTGGGAATATTTACACTCCAGAAATCAGTAAGTGCTATTAATCAGGGCTTTCTTTTTCCCTGAGAGCCAGTTGTTAAACATTTACCAGAATACCACTGTTTGGGGGAACACCAGGAGGGCTGACCATGGAGATTGGTGCCTTTGGTGAGTCTCTCCGTGGCCTCTGGGATGGGTTGGGCCCAGCAGTGTTGAATGGCTGTGTTCAGGCCATCTCCTGCAAGGAGTCCCCAGGCCACTGGCAGGGAGACTCACCATAGGGAGGCCCCCTGTGTTGGAGGTGGTGTAGGTTAATGCTCTCGCCCTCTCTTCCTCCTTCTCCCCTTAGACCGAAGCCAGGACAGCACAGCCGTAGCACTCTCAGACTCCAGCTCGACGCAGGACTTCTTTAATGAGCCCACCAGCTTACTGGAGGGCTCCAGGAAAGCCTACACAGAGAAGAGGCTGCTGGTTCTCAGTTCCCAAGCAGGAGGGACGGGTAAAGACCTTCAGGGGGCCACAGAAGAAAGAGGTATGAAGCTCTAACTCGGTGAATTAGAACCACTTTGATGTCCTGTGGCAATCTGGGCAGAGCTGAAGGCTTTGTGGCCCAGGGACCTTGGCTAGGCAAGTCGCTTACTCTCTGGGCCTCCATTTTTCTCCCTGTAGGATGGGAATGGTCGCAGTGCCCTCCCTGGGGTTGTGAGGGTTGAGGGAGGCAGCTCCTGAGGGTGCGCACAGAGCCCAGCACCACATGTGCTCAGGGATGCTTCTTGTTGTTGTTATGACCCTCACAGCTCAGCCCGGGAAAGCTATGTCTGTGACATCAGTGTGCTCTGTTTTTTTTTCTTGGTTAATGGTTATTTTAAGTCTTTGGATCCTAAATGTCACAAATGTGTTTTCTTTTTAGTCTGAATCATATGAGGTCTTCAGGAAAAATCTCCCTTTTTTGGGGGTGGGAGGCAGAGGGCCCTGATTTAAGCCTGGGGGTATGCCCAGCTCTCCTGGGGGGTCTAGGCCCCCTTTGTAGAAATCAGTTGGCAGAGCCCCACATCTGGGCTTACTGGGAGATCACAGGCAGGCTGGGGCCTTCCTGGCCTCACTCTGAGCTATGGCTGGTCAGCTGTGGATTTGAGAGCTTTCCCACTCTGGCCAGGGCCAGGACTTACAGGTGTTTCTCAAACAGTAATAACAACAACCCAGCCCTGTACTCTTTTTCTGTGCTGGGCACTGTGTTAATTCATTTGGTTCTCCCAAGCACCCTAGAAAAAAAGCATAATGACTATTCCTATTTTATAGCTGAAAAATCTGAGATTCAGAGAAGGTCTGGAATTTGCCCTCACAGTCTACACCCTTAACCATTACCCCATGCTGCCTCTCCAGGTGGGATGGATGGATGGGGAAAAACGTTGGTGATAAACTGCCTCCCTGAGGGACCCAGGCCTTGTCCCAGCAAGTCTCAGAGCAAGCCCTGGATGGGAGCTCACACATAGGTGTGGCAGTGGAGCCAGAGCCGTTTACACTAAGGAAGATCTCTCCCAGCTCTCTGCTCCCTGCCAGCCTCCCCTGGCTGGACTTAAAAGGGCATGAGACCATGTCCCCAGTAGGTTGGAAGTATCCGCATTAGGGGACACCTGGTAGAGACACTAGATAAGAGGGCACAGAATGGAGGACTTACCATGTGGATTTACTTGTATCTGGTGCTCATAGAGAGATGAGGCCACCACCCCACTCTCTCACCAGGCAGTCACTATGCTGTCACCAGCCAGCGTTGACATTCTGTAACTGACATAAACACACTGTAGGAAGTTTGAAATGGGAAGGAAAAAGGTAACTTACACTCTTAACACTCTAATACAGCATTTCTGGTCTTAAAAATAAGATTTTTAAACTTATTAGACAAGTAAGACCACCATGTGTGCTCTGTGGCCTGTCAAGCCGTGACTGCTGTGGATGCTATTGTGTCATCATGAACTTCTCTCCCACTTACATGAGGAAGGGGACATGGGTGTTGGGGGAACGAAGCAGAGAGTGAGTTGGCTTTGGTCTGGCACAGCCTATACAGGCCCATCTAGACTCATGAAGAGCGTCCTGCCTCTTCCCTCTTTCCATTAGAGCCAGTGGCTTAAGCAGACAGTTTGTGGGGTTGGCCATTGGTGAAGAAGGTTAGGGTAGGACCAAAGGTCACCACAATAGCTGATAAGCATGAAATGAAACCTCTTGCTTCCATGGTCATGTTCCTCCTCTCTAAGTCCATCTTTTCTTGGTAACCATGGTGGTGAAGTTGATCAGCTTCCTGCTGGGAGAGCAGGTATGGCAGGGAATGCTTCTCATGCCCACTGCCAGCACACAGTTCTGGGAGCAGAGCACTCCTCCAGGCCTGGTCTTGGTGAGTGGCGATCTCTAACACGCACTCCCCTGGACTGCCATTGGGTAGTATCCTGGCCATCACAGTCTGCAGTACTTGAGCAGCCTTTGGCCTCTCTGCAGAAAGCCAGGACAGCAGTGCCTAGGCAGGGTTCGGTGCAGGCCCCAGTGTGCTCCACACCCCTTGCCTTCCCAGCATGCCCTCATGGAGAGTCCTATCACCAGCCTGCTGCTTCCTCCGTCATTAATGTTATGGGGTACAGGCCCTCGCTCATACGTTTTATATTTGTTATCAAGCAGCGGGGCACCACAGGTCTAGATCTGTACCACGCACTGGGTACCAAGGGAAAGCAGAAACAGATCTGACAGCCACATCCTGCCTGGCACTGAGATGCGCTCCCTCCCACCATGTCTAGCAGGCACAAGCTGTCACACTGCCCAAGGACCAGCCTCCTTCCTTTAATTCTCCAGAAGCTGTCTTTCTCCACTCTGGCCTTGACCGAGGTGCCTTGAGGAAAGAGCCTTTCCCAGAAGTGACTGTTGCAGCTAGCTGAAGCTCACCTTTGCAGGGGGCAGAGCTTCAAAAAAAAAAAAAGTCTAAAATACGAAGGTCGCAAGAGTAAAGACTTATTTATTTAATCTAGAAGAAAGTTGTCCAGTTTCATCACTTAAACACAAGCTCACTCTTCTATATCATTCTGAGGGCAAGAGGGTAAAACCCAAAGCAGAGTTGACGACCACCTGTTGTGATCCAGGCAGTGGACACAAGGGCATGCCAGGCTGGCCACATCTGCCCCTTCCTGGTCAAGTAGAGGCCTAGTGACGATGCCCGTGTACCACACGCAGGATGGGATGATAAATGGTTGTGGGGGGGAGGCCGCCCTGGGGGCAGTTGACCTGCCAGTGCCCAGCTTCCTGCCCATCTTGCCTGCCCGCCTTTTGTGGAGAGCACCCTCACTGGGCTTTTTTCTCAGACCAGTAGAGTTTGAGTAAGACGATCTCAGAAGTCAAAAGAGACAGACTTGAGGTCCCTGCTGGGGCATATTTCCGTCTGGGCCTCTCAGCTGTTGGTGTCTTGCCAAGATGTGTAGCCACCTGCGGGTCAGGCTCTTCCATAACCAGGCCCCCTGAGTTCACTGGGCCATCAGTACACATCAGTCCAGAGGGTCAGCTGGAGGCATGTCTGTGCCTCATTCTTCTTAGGACTTCCATGGACTGATGTGGATCAGATGGCTCCTGTGCTCTGTTGGCCTTGGCGTATGCACCACAGGCATTCCAAGCCAGTCTTCCCTGCCTGCGTCAGGCACTGGCCTAGGCTGGAGCAGCCAGGACACACGTTTTACTTGCTTTCTCTTGGTAGAAGGAAGTTTTCTCATCTTCATGCAGTTAGGTTACAATTGGACGTCCTGGCCTGGAAACGTGGTGTGGTCTTGTTGGCATTTCTGACCCTCTTTCTTCCAGTAAGGCAATGGAGGGCTGTAGTGACCTGTGAGGCCTGTTCAGCAGTAGGAGTGGATGCTGTGGGTAAGGCAGCTCACCCCATCTCTCCTGGGCCCCTTAGGCCACCCAGACCCCTAAGCAACTGATTTTTATTGTTGTTGTTTCTGAGACAGGGTCTCGCCCTGTTGCCCATGCTGGAATACAGTGATGCAGTCATGGCTCACTACAGCCTCAACCTCCTGAGCTCGAGATCCTCCTGCGTCAGCCTCCCGAGTAGCTGGGACTACAGGTGGCACCACACCTGCCTAATTTTTTACGTTTTTTGTAGAAATGAGGTCTTGCTCTGTTGCCCCAGGCTGGTCTCAAACTCTTGGCCTCAAGCAGTCCTCTCACCTTAGCCTTCCGAAGTACTGGGATTACAAGCGTGAGCCACCGCACTGGGTTGTTGTTTTTCGGGTTTTTTTGTTTGTTTGTTTGTTTGAGGTTAGGTTTAATAGGCAAAAGAAAGAAAAGAGAATAGCTGTCTCTCCAAGAGAGGGGCGCCCGAGCGGGTCTTCCCTGCAGCTAGGTTTCTAACTCAGTCTAGGATTGCTGTTTTCTTCTCTCTTTATGTGTTCTAAGATTTCTGGCTGAATTCTTGACCCTCTGCCTGCTTTCCATGAAAATTGTGCTCTGTGTGTCTTTGTGTCCAAGCTCTCAGTGCCTGATGTGAACCGCTGAGAGGCCTGCATCATCATCTGATTCCTCTGTCTCCCCTGTGCCTAGCACAGGGCTGATCCCAGCATTATTATGGCTTACACTGTTTGGTGAGCCACATTTTGAACACATTGGAAACCTGGCACATTTTTTAATAAAGTGATGGTATCCTCTGTAAGATGGATGCCAGCCCTAAGCTGTGGGACGCAGGCAACTTCTTGAGCTCACATGAGAAGACAGTGTAGTGTGGAAGGAGCTAGGACCTCCTGGCATTCAGTCATTAGGGCCACTTCAAAGAGTGGGGGGAGGGGCAGCCCGTGGTAGGCTCTGGGCCTAGGGGAGGGGAGATGCTCTTATGGCTTTTCTTTGCCAACACCACTGGGGGCAGCGATGCAAGGGAGGGAGAAGGGCAATGGCTCCGGGAGAAGGAGTGATGGTGGAGAGGCAAGGACACTGAGGGAGAGCCGTGGGCTGGGCTGCAGGGGAGCAGAGAGGGAAGATGAGACTAATAGCAGGTGGCTGAGGGGAGCATAGGGAGTGAATGCTCAGATTCTTTCCTCAACGAGAATAGTGGTGGTGGGCAAGCTGGCCACACACCTGATGTCTGCATATAGGCTTTGACTTAGCATGTGGAGAACTGGGGGCCTTGGTTGTTGCCCACTCGGCCCTGCCCCAGCAGGCCCCAGCTGTCTTCAGGCCACTACTACAATAGGGAGAGGGCTCAGCCATAGCACACCACCTCAGAGCTGGTGCTGCTGGCTGCTTCTCTGGCTTCCTCCAGGCAAGCTGCGCAGGGTGTGTGCCATGCTCCTGGGTGCCTAAGGAGCCACAGACCACAGGACCCCTTGCCTTTGTCCCTTGCTCCCCAGCCCTTTCCATCTGTCCCACCCTCCCCGGCCAGACAGCTTTCTTCTTCTGTAGCCAAGGAGCCTGCACCTCCGGGTATATAGCCCAAAGTCACCCAGGCTACTGTCATCATCCTGGGGCCAGCCCTGCAGCTCCACCACCCAGCCTGGGCTATCTTGATGTGAACTGCTGCCCCATGGCCCCTGGTGGAGCAAGGCTGGGTGTTCAGGAGCTGGGCTCATGCCACCTGAGGGCCCATGTGGGAGCACTTGGCTCACTCACAGCAGCAGTAACCCTGGAGAGGGATTTGGGGCAGGCAGTGGGGCAGGCAGTGGGCCGAGCACTGAGCAGGGGAGCAGGTGTGCTACTTTGTGAACGCTGGCTGTGTTTTATTTGATGATGGTGGTGGCAACACCTGCCCTTTGTGGGCTGCTTCCCCATGCCCCAGCCCCAGAGGTGGGACAGCCTGTGCCACCATTCAGAGGGGAAGACCCAGAGCCCAGCCCATAACTCCCACTCTGTAGCTTCTGGGTCCCCCACTGCATGCCAGCTGGGATAGCCTCTTTCATGGAGCAGAAGACCTCTGTTGTGGCAGAGCCACCACCAGGCCCTGTGCCTCCTGCTGCTGGGTCCAGCATCCACTCAGCAAGGGCATTGGTCCAGCCATCTGGTCACCTCACCGAGGCGCCTCCGTCGCTGGTGGTAGACCACTACATGGACAGGGCCTAAAACCAAGGTGACTTTCTTTTCCTTCTTCTCAACTGTAGGAAAAAATGAGGAGCCATTGGAGAGTACAGAAGGTTTCCGGGCTGCAGAGCAAGGTGTCCAGAAGCCTGTTGCAGAACCCCCAGCCTCTGCTTGCATCCCTGGCAAGCCCTCAGCATCCATACCCACCCTGTGGGATGGGAAGAAGAGAGGGGACCTCCCAGGGGAGCCAGTGGCCTTCCCCCAGGGGCTGCCGGCTGGTGCTGAGGAGCAGCGGCAGTTTCTCACAGAGCAGTGCATTGCTTCCTTCCGCCTGTGCCTGAGTCGCTTCCCCCAGCACTATAAGAGTCTCTACCGTCTGGCTTTCCTCTACACCTACAGCAAGACCCACCGGGTGAGTGGGCTGCCAGGCCAAGGGGGCTTGGATTTTCCCAGGCAGCCGAGCATCTTTGAAGGTTGGTGGGCAGAGCCAAGACAGATTGGAGCTTCACAGTAGCAGCACATGGGAGGGATGGGCAAGAGAGCTGCAGGAGGCAGGGCCAGCCCCAGGAGTGAGCCAGCTTGCCAGGGAACCCAGTGGTGAGGGCCCAGGGTTACAGCCAGGAATGGAGGGAGGAGTGTAGTGGGCCTCACAGCCTCAGGGATAGGCTATGGGGTGAGGGATAAGGATTTCATAAGCTCAACTACTCTTTCCTGTGAGGGCTGTGCAGCGACTCAAACTCTGATGTCGTGCTCCCTCACCCCTGCCATTCACCCATCATCTCAGTGACAGCATGCCCGTCTTCCAGGTGCCCTAGAGGCCCTGCTTACTCTCTGTTCCGGCCTTGCTTGCCCTAGGCCCCATCTCTCCAGCTGCATCTTGCAGGGACCTCCTCACCATACCCTGCCCCTGGGCTCTTCTCTCTGATGCAGCTGCCGAAACCATCTTCACAGCCTCTGCTTTATGGGGGTTAGGTGCTAACAGCCTCCTCCAACTCTTTTTGGAAAGCAGATGATATAGCGATCCTTAACAGCTGTGCCCCAGGCTTAAGTGCTTCCAGGGGCTTCCCAGCCAGACCTCTTCTGCTGGCGTTTAGATTTGGGGAGGTAATGTGACCTGGGCAGGACCTAAATAGTAGGGGTGACTTTATTTTCCTTCAGTCTCTCCTCACTCACCCAGGAGGTGTTGGGGAGTGTCCTGGTCGTTGTCCTGCCCCATGTAGCTACATTCTAAGGGGGAAGCAGACTTAAAAACATGCAGATGGCCGGGCATGGTGGCTCACACCTGTAATCCCAGCACTTTGGGAGGCCGAGGCAGGGGGATCACCTGAGGTCAGGAGTTTGAGACCAACCTGGTGAATCCCCGTCTCTACTAAAAATACAAAAGTTAGCCAGGCGTGGTGGCACATACCTGTAGTCCCAGCTACTCGGGAGGCTGAGGCATGAGAATTGCTTGAACCCAGGAGGCAGAGTTTGCAGTGAGCCGCGACTGTGCCACTGCACTTCAGCCTGGGCAACAGAACGAGACTCCATCTCAAAAATAAAAATAATAAATAATAAATTAAAACATGCAGATGAGTAAAGCAAGTCTCATTTGACCAATACCGCAGAGAAAACAACGGGGTGCATAGAGGGGTGAGGGTGCTGCTGTGCCTCTGTGAAGACACCTTTTATGCTGAGACCTGTATTGTAGGGGACAGCATTGGTCTGGAAGGAAGAAAGAGCACCCAGACAGAGCAAACAGCCCAGGAAGGTGGCCATTCTGGGCTGGCATTGGTGTGGGTGAGGGCCAGAGAGAGCCAGGTGTGCTGGGCAAGCAGGGGTGACCTTTAGGGTCTTGCTGTGAGGACTCATTCAGGTCCTCCTCCTAGAGATCTCCTGCTGGTTCCCCCCAGCATCCTCTGTGGAGTGTTTAAAGAACCAGAATGGACAGTTGGCCAAGAGATGGGGCCTGGCTTGGCACTGGCTATGTGCAGGAAGTGGCACTTCACAGAATTCTGCTTGGGGGACTAGATACAGGGGTCCAAGAAGGTAAGTGCTCTGTCCCCACAGTGACCACCATTCTCATGTGGCTTGGTTGATTTCCTCAGGGCACAGCAGGTGACACAGGTCTGGGAGGGAGGGAGTCTCATCATCTGGGGCTTTGGTCTGTAGTTCAAGGTGCAGTGCATGCTGGCAAACGACGGCCAGCTCCCTGGCTATTGGTGCCACACTGGAGCCTGGCTTGCTCACTGCTCAGCCTGCACTTGGTAGTGGATCTTACCTCTGTACCTCAGGCCTTCTGCACCCGGGTGGACCTGGATCTTAATAAACCCCAACCAGCATGTCCTCACTGCTGAAGCTGTCTTTGGGCCTGAGGGGCAGTGGCTGGTATGAACTCTGTTGGGCTCACCATTGCTTTGGGAACGTTCCCCCTTCCCTCTTTTGGGAGCAGCACAACCCACTGCAAGAGCCCACACACACATCAGTGGAACAGACACTAGTAACCATTGTCCTGTCCTCCCTCACCTCTAGTGTCCTTCTGTTCAAGTGCATCCTCAAGCAGCCATACAGCCCCCTCCAGCTGTAGTCAGCTTTGACCAGGATCTGGTGGTCCCCAGTAGTGAGCTCAGACCCTTCCTTACCTTCTCAAGAAGCAGATGCCGAGATGGAATTTTGGGTTCAAAATGTTGATTAGGAATTGGCATCTGTGCAAGGGAAGTGGGGAGGGACAGCAGGTTTGGGTGGGAGGAGAGTTGAGTGGTGATACAGGCCCCACCCACCCACCCTCCACTTCCCCGCTAAATGGCTTTATGTTGAATTTGAAGGAGCCAGTGCATGTAAAGTGCTTAGCTCAGCACTAGACACAGAATGCTGTTATTACAGCCTGCCCCTTCTCTTGATGAATTTTTTAGAAGTAGGAAACAGTATTTCTGTCAAAATCAAAAGTTGGAGGGAGGTAACCACAATTCTACCACCCTAAAACTAGCTGTCTTGGGTCTAGTACAGGTTGAATATCCTTTATACAAAATGCTTGGGACCAGAAGGGGTTTGGATTTTGGGTTTTTTCAGATCTTAGAATATTTGCATTATATTTACCTGGCTGAGCCATCATGCTAAGCCAAAAATCTGAAATCCCAAATGCTCTGATGAGGCTGGACGCGGTGGCTCACGCCTGTAATCCTAGCACTTTGGGAGACTGAGGCGGGTGGATCACCTGAGGTCAGGAGTTCAAGACCAGCCTGGCCAACATGGCGAAAACTTGTCTCTACTAAAAATACAAAAATTATCCAGGCATGGTGGCGCACATCTGTAATCCCAGTTAATCAGGAGGTTGAGGCAGGAGAATCGCTTGAACTGGGGAGGCGGAGGTTGCCGTGAGCTGAGATCGCGTCACTTCACTCCAGCCTGGGCGAAAGACCAAAACTCCCTCTCAAAAAAAAACAAAACAAAAAACCAAAATGCTCCAATGAGCATTTCCTTTAAGCACCAAAGTTTCAGATTTTGGAATAATTTGGATTTTAGATATTTGGACTTAGGATGCCCTGCCTGTATTTCTTCCCAACTCCAGTACACATGCCTTGTTGATTGTGTGCTTTCAAGACCAGGCACTCCAGGCCCCAGAGGTGGGATCATGCCCCTTCTACTTTGCATCTGGGAACCTGGTCTAAGGGTCACACAGAGCTGAGTGACAGAGCCAGACATCAGCCCTGGGCAATCTCACACTGGCCCAGTTGCTGCACTGTCCCCCACACCCTGTCCACACTCATAGTTTGCCATTTTGCTCTTAACCATGAATGCCCCCTTGCCAGGTCATTTTGGTCATCTGTCATGGTCCAGGGTAGGTGGACCAGTTGACCCAGCCATCCCCACCCAGTAGCAGGGATGGAGGCTGCCCTGGGCTGTCTGCACCATTGATGTCAGTATCCCCAGACAACCCCCAATAGCCATCAGCCTCAGTTTCTGCCAGCTTTTCTGTTTGTTGCATTCCCAGGCTGAGTTCCTTGGTTCTCAGAAATGGCATGCTGTCTAGAGAGACCCCTTAAGCAGCAGACACTCCCTACCCACAGCCACACTGCCTATCCACAGATCTGCTTCCAGGAAGCAGCTCTGCAGGTGCCAAGTGTGCCTCAGGTAGCCTCGGGCCACTGAGCTCATTCTAGACCCTGCATATGCTGAGTCTAGGGTGGTTCCCGCTGGCTCCTGTGTTTGCTTCACCCAGAAACCTTTGCTGAGCACCAGTTAACACCACCAAATTAAATGCAGGTTGTTAACACCTAGCTCCCCTGAGAGCCTAAGTTAAGACCTACCTGCTGCTCTGGGGCATGCCATCCTGGGGGTTGCATGTGGCTCTGCCCAGACCTGGGGTGTCAGCTTTGCTAGCAGCAGCTTGTTCACAGATCTGGGGGACACAACTCCATGTTGTCACTGACTAATGTGGAACCATTAACTGGGAAGTAGTTACCACTTTCCAAACACAGCTGTTTGGTAACAAACACTTCCCGCTGTGTATATTTGACAGCAGCACATTTCTTCATAAAATCCTGCTGTGGGCTTGGCAGTGCCTTTTTCTTGTTGACATCTCACAGCTCATTGGTGGACTGGAGCGTCCAATGTCTGCCTCTTCAAAGGGGCCCACAAGCAGAGCCTGTCTGGAGTTGTGTGGTTGACTCCTGAACCCTTGGGTCTTTCACAGGCATCTCCAGGTGAGGCTCTGCCTGCCCAGGCCTTGCAAAGAAACCGCCTTCAGGGCACAGTGTGCCACTTGCTTAGCTGCTGACAGCAGGGCTTTTGGGGGAGGAGGAGAGAATGTGGGCTCTGAAGCTGACCTAACCAAGGTTCAGATCCTGGCTCTGCATGGGAACTCTTGGAGGTCCAGGGCTCTTCTTTCCTCGATGAGAATGATAGTGATATGAAAGCAGAATTATTGTGGTAATGAGGTGAGGGCTGCGGTGCTGGGGCAATATCCAACACACCCTGCCCTGTCCTCAGCCAACAGTCCTTCTCGCCCCTCTAGTGAGGCCCATTTCTTCAGTGTCAGCATCTCCCATGACTCCTTGCTCCTCTGCCAGGCCCTCTGAGGGCTCCCTGCCTGGAGGATAGTGGCCAAGGGCTAGGTCTGTCCTGAGGGACCTTTGTTGCCTGCCTGAGGATGCCCTCCCATCCAAGGTTGGCACTGCTGTACACAGGCTGCCCCTGGACCCCCCAAGGCAGTCCCCTGTTGCCCTGCACACTGTGCACACCTTAGATGGGGATGATCATTTATGCTGATAGCTGTAAGGGCCCTAATTCTAGCTACTGTATCACTTAGTCTCTGGATCACAATCTTCACCAAGATTTTGAGGCCTGAGTCTACACCCATAGAAACCTAGCTCTTTGAGCCCAGAGAGGCACCCCAGGAGAGACAGCACATGGCATCAGACACCTCTTGTCATG